CCAGGCAAGATTCAGTAAGTAATCAATATCTATGTCTCTCTCCACCTACCTATATTACTTCTTAGCTGAGCTAATTCTAAATTACTTATCTTCACTGGGCGGGATCAACCATTCTAACCTTAGCTGAATTCTTATGTTCTGACATGCAATCTCACTACTCCTGCCTCGACGTCCACCTGACAAGAAACGCCAACAACTCTCTGAAAAGATCCATATACAAGACGCCTACATGGAATGGGCAATTCATCAACTTTCATAGCTTCGTGCCGCTAAGCAGAAAGAGGAACCTGATATACACTCTTTCCTCGAGAATTCGGAAGATATGCAGCGAGGAAGTGATCTCCCTTAAGGAAAACGGTTTCCCGCACAGGTTCATAGACAAAAATCTCAAATCTAAGGAGACTTCAGAACAAGTCCAATCCGTTCCAAAGAAAATACTTCTGCTTAATCTAGAATTCAAAGGTGATATTGAAGCAGAAATCCTTGGCAAACGTCTCTGCAAATCTCTTAGGAAAACATACTTCGCCGCGAGCCTACGACTGACGTTTTCTTGCAAGAAACTGTTCAGCCAGAACGTGAAAGATAAGCTGTCGCATTGGGCCACCTCAACGTGCATATACCAGTTTACTTGCTCTTGTGGAGCTGAGTACATCGGCCGTACCATGCGCCGACTTGGAAAACGCGCTCGCGAACACTACCCAGCCTGGCTAGTAAAAGGAGAGCAAAAACGTGTATACAGTTCAGTGACAGAACATCTGGTCAACTCAGGACATTCAGCGCCTTTCGAAAAATCCTTCAAAGTAATATATAAAATCAATCAAACCTATCAAAGGGAGTCAAATCAAGACATCTGGGCATAACTGAAGCGCTAGCTATCCAAAAGCTCAAACCCACGCTTTGTATCCAAAAGAATTACGTCCAACCCCTGTCCCTGCCATGGCCATCATAAACAGGTAAAAAATTTTTAGTAATGACAATCTCATCACCCTTCTTATCTAAACTTCCTGTTTATTCATGTTATTTAACTATTTGTACATATTTAATCCCTGATTGCATGAATAATTATTCATCATATTAGTTTTTCATCCAAACACCCCGTATAATTTGTTATTTCTACATTTCAAACTCCCAATTGCACAATGTCAATCTTCTTAGTTATTATAATACTGCTTTGTTCGAGTTCTATACGTCCCCCTGTTTATTATAGCATTCTAATTCCTAATTGTAATTTTTATTAATTTAACCCTTAACCGGTAATTACCCTGGAACTTTCCTATCCACTTGATATAAATACACGAATGTACAGCCTAGATGATGACTTCGTCGAAAAGAAAATTTTGTTCGCTGCAACTGTTTTTCCAATAACTCCTATGACACAATGTGTATATTCCGTGATGTAATCCTTCTCTTAAACATAATCTACTGACATCGAGTTACTGTGAAACGAAATAATATACGAAATGAAATTGAAAAACCCAAACACAAACTCGAACATATGGTCAATGACAAAGATTATATAATTGTTGTTGAGGCATCCAAAAAAGCTAGAGAATCAGCATTGAGAAAATCAAAAATCACACAAATCAAAAAATTCAACAAACTGATTGAAGAAAAGAACACAACAAATGAAATTGATGTCAACGCTTCATCCTCTATCGACAGAACAAAGTGGGTGATCAACCTCTCATCAAGGGAACTAAGCTCTAGTGAGATAAAAGTACTTGAGAAAGGACTTAACTTCAACGTAACAGTTAATAAACTAAAACCAGAGGATGTCATTCCTAACATAGAAGTAGCACTAAGATCAACAGATAAGACGACAGCAGAAGAGGTTCGAACACAATGTGCATTAACCCTGAAAAATCAACAGAGGGCAAAATCAAACTTAACGACATCGGAAAGACTAGCTTTAATTAGTCTAAAACAAGATAAAAAAAATCGTCATTACAAAAGCTGACAAAGGAAACTCGACAGTAGTCTTGGATAAGTCTGACTATATCAAGAAAGTCACTGAACATATTGAGATGGGTCCATATGAGGAAATTAAGAGGCCTGTAGATACAATAATGAATAAGGTTAAGAAATCTACAACAGAACTAATACGCAGAATGAAGCCGTCACTGGGTGAGTCAAAGTGGTTTAATTTAATGCCTAAAACTAATAATGCTAGTAGAATGTATGGCACTATTAAAATACATAAACCAGGGTACCCCATACGACCAATAGTAGATTTTAGGAATATTCCTACTTATGAATTATCAAAACACTTAGCTCTAATATTATGCCCCATTAGAAATCGCTCAAACCCTAGACTAGCTAATTCATTTGAGATGAAAAATAAACTAAATGACATTCAACTAGAGAATGATAAAACAATGGTTAGTTTTGATATAACCAGTCTTTATACTAACATACCAATCAATATGGCCTTAGAAGCAGTTAAAAAAGAATTAACTGCAGACCCTGAACTCACTTATAGGACGAAACTACCCATTGATGAAATTATTTTAGGAATTCAGTTGTGCCTCACATCTACTGTCTTTAAATTCCAAGGCAAAATATATATAGACAAACTGAAGGTGTAGCAATGGGATCACCAATATCCCCTATCGTAGCAGATATATTTATGGATAGCTGGGAAAATATGGCTCTTAATACGTTTAATCCTACTCCAAAAATATGGTGGAGATATGTGGATGACACTTTCAACACAGTGTTAAAAACAGAACATATCTCTAGCTTCTTGACACACATAAACTCACTAGTGGAGGGAATAAAATTCACATTTGAAGCCGAAAATGAGCAAGGAGAATTAGCTATGTTAGATTGTAAAATAAAACGAATAGAAGAAGGCAAACTACACACCGGTGTTTATAGAAAAGCAACGCATTCTAATAGATATTTAGACTTTAATTCATCTCATCCTTTAACTGTTAAGGCAGGCTTAGTTAAGTGTTTAACAAACCGAGCAGTGGCACTAAGTAGCACAAAAAAAGACCTAAATGACGAAATAAAACAGATAGAAGAGGCGTTGGTGTTAAATAACTATCCTTTAAAATTCATTAGGAAGATTGAAAAAGGTCAAAAGAAAAATAAAAAGAATTGTGAAACTAGTAATGATAACATAAATAAGAGAGAATATAAGTCATCTACAGTTATACCATATAAAGAGGGGACATCTGAAACCCTACGTAGGATTCTAAATAAAGCAGGAATTAGGGTGGCATTCAAACCTACAAACTCACTCAGGGACAAGCTCTGTTGGTTAAAGGACCCAGTTGACCCAATTAGACAAAATAATATAATTTACAAAATACCTTGCAATGACTGTGAGGTCAACTACATAGGTCAAACTAGTAGATCAGGGGTAGTCAGATTGTCAGAACATAAGAATTCAGCTAAGGTAAGAATGGTTGACCCCGAGAAGATAAGTAATTTAGAAAAAAGCTCAGCAATTGCAATGCATGCATTAGCACACAACCACACAATAGGGTGGTGGGAGAGGGTTAAAATTCTAAAAAGTAATATAGGTAGGTGGAGAGAGAGGTTGATTACTGAATCCTTGTTCATCGAATCTACACCCAACACATGCAATAGGAATGATTCATCACTCATACCCGAAATATGGAAAATATTACTACCAATCAAATCAAGTGAAAATCAAGTGAAAAACAACGGAACTATATAAATGAATTTAGGAAGTCGTGTGATTACCTTGATATGATTATGAGCAATAAATTGTGCTCGAAACGTCATCAGTAAACATTACTGTATAACACTGTGAGACTTTATCAAAACAAAATTTACTCATAATTGAATTACACTCTACCACAGTGCACAAGTTTTATTCTTATATCAACCTACAGGATCCTTAAACCAAACTACAGAGCTTGTCCTACTTGTGAGTGAGTTTGTATGTTTAAAGGCCACCACCCTAATTCCTGCTTTATTAAGAATCCTACGTAGGGTCTCATTTCTCCTGCTTATGTGGTAAATACGGTATATAAATCAAGCAAGATAGTGAATAGTGTCAGTAATGCCTTGAAATAATTAAGATTATGGGTAGTAGCAATGGTAAACATTGTGCCCGAAGCGTCTGGTCATCATCAGTAAATATATTGCTGTATAACGAACACACACTGTGTGTGACACTTTATCAAAATAAAAATTCATCCATAATGCAAAAAAAACAAAATCAAAATCCCCTGTTCGTTCACTCTGAAGACGATTGTTGTTGAACATCACAACATACTTCTCCCCCGGTTAGCCAGGGGAGAAAAGAAGAATAGAAGCAGCTCTATCTTCGAACACCCTATCATCTCCGGACATCGAGCACCCCCGCATGAATGCTACACAGTGCTACACAGAGTCCTTCAAAATCGTACAAACGGACTTGGCATACACCATCTGTACAGAACTGTATCACTGGTTCGCTATTCGGGATCTGAAACCGGACAGACCTCTGCATTCAAAAGTGCTACATACATTCACTCACCACCCTACCATGGCCAGAGTAAAGTTCTTATTATCATTTTCCTTCTTCTTTTAATTATGTAAGTTTATTATGGTTATTATTATTTTATTATCGTTATTCTTTCCACCATCCATATTTTATTATCACTCTATCAATAACATTGCGTTTTCATACAGATTTTATATAAAAACACTTTATCGCCATTCGATTAGTTCTTGTCCATTCTACACAATCATATTGATTAGTCATTATTTCACACTTGTTACGTCATGCCAACTTCTTCCTCTTATCTAACTTACAATTAGTCATCCCTTCTTACAACTTACATCTTATGTAACACACTTTTCGAGGATAAATTTTACCAGTAGTATCTGACGGGTCTAAAGCTTTCTTTGCTTAATATAGTTACGATTGTACAGCTCATGAAAATGAATCGTCGAAAAAAAATTTTCTTCGCTGTTTACGCCTTTCTCTTATGACACAAAAACAATGTCGCCAAGACTTACTTACTTACTTACTAACTTACTTTGAATATACCTGCAATTGACAGAGTTAAACTTGAAGCAGAACTGACAACCAGATATTCTGAGAATTCAAGACCAAATGCCAAGACAGCCCCAATGCTTAGGTGGATTAAATTACCAAATATCTGGTTGATACTGTCCGCACGAAAAAGGCTTTTCGCTGTGGCAAGTTCAAAACCTGAAATAAGCACATGACACAAACACAAAATATGTAAAATCAAAATATGCACGAGCGAGACACTGGTGAGTGAGCTTCAACTCCAGAAAACTTGTCACCGTGAGGATAGACGGCATCTTGAAAAGACTACTACTGTACCAAAGAAAGGCATCTTTATTAACCTACCATTAAAGGGTGATCAAATTATCCATCCAGTTGACACTTCAAAGACTTCGGTCAGCCATCAAGCGTACACAATCTACACCGCATCTCTTTCCCCCACATACCGAACATTTTCGATCCCTGTACCTACAATTAAAGGACGAAACTCTGTGGACTCTACTTCAAACTGTATCTACAAGTTCATCTGCAGTTGCGATGACACACACTATATAGGTAGAACCAATCGAATGTTCCAGAACATCTTCCAAAATGGTTACTAAATCATATAGAAAATCCCAATGCGAGTAATCTGAATAGAAATCCAGCATCATCCACTTCAAAACACTTATTAATCTCAGGTCACAAAATCAATCAATATTATTGACTGTTTCACAATTATTTCACATAACTCTAATTCAAGGTCTTTTATTGAAGGTGATGGAAGCACTATGGATTAATCACATGCAGCCTAAACTGTGTGTACAAAAGATATTAGACTCCGACCGTCGCCTACCATGGACTACTTGACCTATTTAAATATGATTAGTCATCAGTATGTACTTTTGTTTTTCATATAACTGAGTAATTGTCATGAAATTTATTTTATTATTGTTAATCAAGTTAGTTGTAAAGCGGTTGTAGAGAAACTACGAAATGACGGTATCATCTCACGAAATTTGTTTTCTAAGCGCCTTATTCAAATCACCTAAATGTATTTCATGGAAGTTGTATCAGCCCAGCTAACGCCGGCGGGTTTATCGCTGACGAAATCTCAGCTAGGTACGGATACAGAGGGTTTTTTTGGCGTTTTTCAGTCAACTTACGCCATCTGTGCCTTAGTAGACGTGATATCCGACTGGCTGGCTGTCCACCAAAGAGCGTGTGTACTGTTCAGTAGCAGTTCGCTCTGGCCTCCTTTCTGAGTGGCTGGCTGGCTAGCCATTGAAAGTGAAAGAAATGAAAAGACTGCCCAGCTAGCTGTCTTTGATCTGAGGTGCCTGCGTTCCATCTTCCGTGTTCAGTAGTGTTATAAGGAGAGCAATATTGAGGCGAGGCATCGGTCGAGTACTAGATAAGGAGGAAAGGAAATCAATAGACAAGTCTGTGAAGTTGTATCGGTTGGAGTGTTTAAAACTTGTGTTACCCATGCATCCCTAGTCATCGCCTTCCTCGACAATGGGTAATGCTAGCTGACTGACACAGGATGGATGAGGTTGTTGGGAAAGACTTAGCCAGTGGTGGTCAAACTAAAACATGGCTTCATCAGTCAATGGAATCCACAACAGTTAGTCTAAGCCAGCCAGTCACGTAGAAAGGTGTAGACTTCCTGACTGCCTGGTTGATGTCCTCTGGATGGTGGTGAGAACCAATGAAGGCTGGAGACAAATGGTGATATGGCTGGTGCAGATGCATCTACGTTGAAACCAGTCAGTCAGTCAGTGAGTTCGGTGTAAACTCCTACAGGGAATGATTAAACAGGAATATGTTTACCTGGATTAAACCAACTACTCATTGAGTTCTTTTATGTCATCGAAAATGTACTTTTCAGTCAACGGATAGTCAATGTGTTATGTGTTACAGAGGTATCACATAATACAAAGCTCAGATGGAAAAAGAAATCTGTTTTATTTTCTAAGGATGAAAACAAAAAAGTGCAGTTGGGTAAATGAATGAATGAGATTTGCATTGTTTATGACTGTAAGATTGGTTGGAGGATTTCATCATGAACACTGACATCGGTTGGTTAGAGAACCATTGGAAAACCAGCCACAGAGAGTACTGCCAGACAGTGACTTAACGGTCTACCAGCTCGCTGGCGTTGTAACCAGAAGGTCCTGGATTCAAACCCCAATGGAGTGGGTGCGTACTGGTAGAGAGCCAGTCCCAAACTAGGCTGACGAAACAGCTGTCCAGTACTCCTTGTGGCAGGTTTTCCAATAGTTCTCTAACCAACTGATGTCAGCGCTCATAATGAAATCCTCCAACCAACTGGAGCAATAATTTATCGCTAGCGTGTGAATATCTTCCCTGTCATAAGTATGTTGATGACACAGAATTGGTGCTTGATGATGAACACTAAAGTGACTGTATCAACCTCTTTATAATATATTTGGGAATTTACATAAGACCTAATAGACTAGTGACTGATACAATATCCCATTAGAGATACAAAAGGTTTGTCTGGAATTTTCTCCCTCACATAATTTTCGGTAGCATGAATAGACCCCTGGAAATCAAAGGGTACATTTACTGCACGTGTCGTTGTATCATACTTTATAACTATGAGTAATGATCGATGAAGCTAGAAGATAAGAAGGCATTAGAGGTATTGCAGTTCGTCGGTGGCACAGTGGTAGAATGCTCACCAACAACCACGTCCCCATGTGGTCCAGGATACGATCCCCGGCCGGCCAGCTACCGAGGCACTCCTTTACCTCACTTGCTAAGCCAGTAATAAGGCTAGTAAAGAGGGAAGGTTTGGGGGCACGAAGCTAACTAGCAACCTCATCCTACCGAAAATTGAAGCCTCTAGCTTGAAGCCCTCGCTACGTTCCACCGGAAAAGTGAAGGAATAAAAAAAATAAGAGGCTACATTATTCGATTGTGTCTCTGTATGAGGAAATGGTGTGGTATGTAATGAGATGAGGTTAGAGACCCGAAAGTGTTAACTCTACAAAGGACTAGTCAATCGACAAAGATGAGAAGCTACAGGAACTGAGATGGCTTGACAGACACATGTGGGAAACTACCACTGTGGTGAGAGATGGTTGCTAGCCAAATTGGTTCACAGTAATTGAGGTCAATGTTAGTCATGTGAAAACAAGGTCAAGATGGACAGGCGGATACAGTTAACATATAGATGAACTGACACAGCCACAAGAGATGCAAGGTTAACTTTGTGTGAGAAACAACCAATCAACAGACTGTATTTTCTACTTTACCTACATATGTACATCAAATCTATAAATATGTGTTGATTTTCCGTAATAAACGTTCTGTTGCCTGGCCCTTGTCTTCTGTTGTTACACCACTACGTCCATAAACAAGCAATGATAGCTGATATTGTAAAAGACTGCAGAGTAGTCAAACTCAAACAAGGCATATCGATCTAATGTGTCGTCAAATTATCGTTATGAGTCACATAATAATCAGATAAAACTTTTAAATACTGATGGTTGAAGGCTACTGGTCAGGTCGGTGAAAAATGATTTCCAGTGGCTCATACCTATTCGGTTAGTACTGTTTCAAATCTTAAATAGGCTTCAGTAATATTTCAATTTATACTCCCTCTTATATATCTCCTCCAAAATGAGTCAACCCAAACTATTTCTGTGGTGTGTTTTACTTTGACTCGCTATTGTCATGAATATACACGCAAGACAACCATGCTCCCAGCAAACTTTAGTCGACAGGCATCGTTTTACCATAATAATCAATACTATTCCAAAACAAGCGTGAGCGCGGTATTATTCCAATAGTAGTTAAATATTGTTGGTATTAGATGGATGGAGGCAATCGGTCACAGGAAGCCTTGTCTGGACCTAGGTTTCCTGCTACTTGGCACCCATCAAAAATATCCAATAGAGGAGGTCAATCGCGAGTCTGAATAGTTCCTCAGTGGTGGTAACGTCTCTGACTCACTGAAGTACTTATTTGGTGGTGACTCGAGGGTTCGAATCTCAGAAGGAGGGACATGACTTGTTCTTTCAATTTGGTTGCAGATACATACGCCTTGCTGACTGACTAACTGGTGAGTCCCAACTAGCACTAAACCTAGGTCCTGGTAAGGCTTTCTGTGGCCGATTGCCTTCAACCATCTAATTCACAGTGCACCGTGATGGCGAGCCAGACACCTAGCCTGTTTGTTGGTGGCCACCTTGCGAAAATTGACTGACTGACTGATAGCATTCAGTCTGCACCAAAGATAGGACTACACACACACACAAACACACGCACATGCATTACACTAGTTACTGACTGACTAGTGTCTAGTCAATTATAGAATTAAACCAGCTGATTTACGAAGAACATAAACCGACAAAAGCTGTGTGAAGTAGACAGTTTCATTGATAGATAGATAAACACCTCGATCTGTCTTAATCCCTTTTACACTACTGTAGCCTTAAACACTTTGGACTTGTAAAACATCATTGTACATTTTGATTGGACACTAGTAACTAGTGTGACGTATTTAGTCCTTTCTTTGGTGCAGACTGAATTCTATCAGTCAGGTATTTGAAATGTGGCCACCATTCTAGGTAGCTCACCATCACGGTGCACATTGATTTCATGATATTAGATGGTTGGAGGCAATCGGCAGGAAGCCTTCGACCTAGGTTTCGTGCTAGTTGGCACTCATCAGCAAGGCGTATCTGCAACCTTGAAGGAACTCATGTCCCTTCTGAGATTCGAACCTGCGTCACCCAGTGCTGCAGTCAGAGACGTTACCACAGAGCTATTCGGGCTCGCGATTGACCTCCTGTAGGACTGTAGTGGGTATTTTGATTGGACACTACCTGCCGATTGCCTCCAACCATCTAATATCATCAAATCATTGTACATTATTTGCTCGCCTTAAACGCCTAACTTCACTCTCTTGTGTGTGAAAAACATTTCTGTTGCTAAACAAACCTTATAACAATCATCATTTCTGAATACTACTCACCATTCAATGTCTTTAGATGATGTAAGACTATTTAGCAAAGTTTTGTAACTGACCAGTTTTCTTCCTGATCTCTGTTGAAAACACTATTTAACTAGCCAACTGTACTTCAATATACACACATATAAAGCAATTTTATTGCAATCTACAACAATTTACCAATCCAGTGTCACTGATATGTTTGTTAACACATAATTAGTTAGATTGGTTGGAGGATTTCATCGTAAACTGACATCAGTTGGTTAGAGAATCATTAGAAAACCAGCTGCGAGTACCGCCAGACAGCTGTTTCCTCCGTCATAGTGCTTGGGCTGGACTGACTCTTCAGCGGGATGCACCCACCACCAAAGTTCGAACCCAGGACCTTCTGGTTACAAGGCCAGCGAGCTCTTACACCATTAATCAGCTATTCACTCACTGGGACCCAATCCAACGGCCAGTCAGCCAGCCCATGAATTCTAACTTCTACACTGAGGAGTCCAAAACTAGGCTGACGAAACAGCTGGCTGGCTGGTTGGCAGTACTCCCAGCTGGTTTTCCAATGGTTCTCTAACCAACCGATGTCAGTGCTCATGATAAAATCCTCCAACCAACCAATCAAACAAAAAATCCCTAAAAAGTACATACTTGAAAATTATTGGTCAGTGTGAACATGTCACCGGGGGAGGGTGATGATTAACGAAGAAAATAAATACACACAATTGAAAGGTAGAAATGGTTACTACACGTGGATTGCGTAATGCACATAATTTTGGAAAAATGAGGAGAGTACGCTCAAGCTGATTACGTTACAGATTGTTAAACAAAAACAAAACGACTTGGACAATGATAATTTTTAAAGGTTTAGGCGGAGGGGGACGATAGATTCATTGAGAAAAATATGAATTCAGCACCTAGAAAAGTCAGTATGGCAACAGCTCTGACAAAACCATTGTTCATAAAACTGCAGTTCCTCAGTGATAACATCAGCGAAATAGTAACACAGAGAGCGCCTGAAGAATGAAGTTAAAAGAGATTATAATGCGGCAGAGGTGGTACGTTGTCTCTTCACTACCAACCCTATTCTACGTTCGAGAAATAAGAATAAACTAGCTAATTTTTCCTCCTGTATGTGTATCTAACAGTTTGACAGCAACTTCGGAGCCAGCTACATCGGGCGTACAATTAGGCAGGTTCATCATCGTATTCCCGAACATCATCTAGCATAGCAGTTAAGCAAGGGACAAACAAAATCTATTCGTAGCAGCTCGATTTTAGCACACCTTGTAGATGAATAGTGAGCATAAAGTTGACGTTAATACAGCACATTTAAAATTATTTATCGCATTTCTACTAATATTAATTTCGCCTTACGAATTCGTCTTCTACATACGACAGCTAAAGCAATAGAAATCCACCTGAAGAAGCCAAACCTGTGTGTGTTCAGCGGAAATTTGTACAGCCACTTTCCTTACCTTGGCTATCGTTACATGAATGTATAAACCGGACTACTTCACACCCCCTACCCCTAGACCTTTAAAAATTATAATTGACCAAATTATTTTATTATTTTTTCTGACTACTTCATCTCTAGTTATCATTGTCCAAATCGTTCTATTTTCTTCTTTAACAATCTGTTACGTAATTAACTTGAGCACACGCCTATTCCTTAATTACTCTTCTCATTTTTCCAAAATTATGTGCATCACGCAATCCCCGTGTTGTAACCATTTCTACCTTTTAATTGTGTGTATTAATTTTCTTCGTTAATTATCGCCTTCACCTCTCGCTGACATGTTCATACTGAACAATTATTGTTAACAAACACATCAGTGCCTTGTTGATTGGTAAATTCTTGTATATTGTAGATAGACAGAGTGAGATGAGGAATCGAATTGAAAATCGCTCAATCAATCCTTTTGCTTTCTAATTTTAATATACGCTTTACCTACGTGCAGCTTGTAATTATGATATGATACGAACAATGATGTGGCGTCATTAGAAATCGTGTCACTTTTCTTATCACTGTTTATGGAGTAATGCAAGTGTCAATGTCATGAAAGGGAAATACTGGTTGATGCTTAACATATAGCTAGGCGCTTAACGAAGTTTCTTCACACGTAAATTTCAATAGCTCACATGAATCCCCTGACGAACATTTCACTTACATTGAAAGGTTGGAAGAAATAAAATATGACAGAGATTATAAAACAATGAGATTTAAGATTTAATTGTATTGTAAACTATATTGAGTTGTAGGGATAGAGGGACTACGTCGGACGATGCTGCTGCTGCTTGAGCACATCATTGAATTACAGCCTAATTTTATCCCGACTGATAGCTGCTACCACCTACCTTGACGTGATGATGATGGTGGTCGCCGGGCTTGCATATCGCACAATGACTCACAACAAGCTATACTGGCTGGAACTATTTTTTCCCGGAGGTCGTACCATACTAAGAAGGTTGTTATAGGATAGCGACTAGACTAAAAGCAGTTACCGCCATAGTGTAAGAACTTTTGATTTTTACACTATGCTGGGAAACAGGGATGTAACAGCCGCAGTAAGGTGTTTTCCTCACTCAGATGACCAGCATGCCAGCCAGCCAACTATAGTGTTTCTCCACTCTGGAGAGGGTTAGAAAAGGTAGCCCCTGAAAATTGTACATCTTGACTTACCCCACCTATGGTGGTGGTCCGGAACCGGCGGTAAGTTTACGAATACAAAACGGGACTAATCCAAGAAACTAGTTCACACAGGTCGTGTGTGTGTGACCGGCTGGTCGACCGGCCTCAAGGGGTTGTGTCCCCTAGGATCAACTGCAGTCACGCAACACAACCTTTTTCTGTTTCAAATACCCGAAGAAGCGATCAACTTCCACGGTTGTTAGGGGGGAGGCAGCCGGGAAGTAAAAACCGCCTACGCACACTTCCAAAATCACACGAGCCTAATTTTATATTTGGCATAGATTACCAAATCGCTAGGCGAAGTGAAGGTCGTCCTGTTTTGTTCTTTTCTATTGGTTATTACGACTACACAATATTTTATTTATTGTACATATTCATACACAAAAAGAGCTGAGTGATGTAACAAATAATCAATCCTAGTCGAGATGACATATTAAAGCATCTACAGGAAGGCTCTTACCTTCTATATAAACAGAAAATGGCAAAATAACCAAGGCCATCCATGGCTGAGAATGATACATAAAATCAACCGGATGAGAAAGACCTGTGTGAGTAGAGAAAAAAGAAATCACGGAAATATTATTGATTCTCTTGAATACTAACCTCAGTAAGGTTTCATGCAAACAGCAGCAACAACAATAGCGTCCCAAGGGATACACGAACACTCCCATGACCTTGAATGCAGGTTAGTCATTCGTCGGCTAACGACACCTGTTATTATTATTATTGTAGCACAAATATGAACGTTATTCAACACCAACTAAGAAGCTAAATTCACCCATATCACGAATAATCGTTAATAGTTCGTTAGGGTTACGATCAGGGTTATAAATAAGATTAGGGTTAGGTTTACCGTTAGGATAAGGGTTGTAATTAGGGTCAGGATTAAGGTTAGGGTTATGATTAGGGATAGATTTAGAGTTGGTATTATTTGTTTTAATTTGTCTTATTATCCACATTTTCGCAGAAGTGGTCGATCCTCTAACTGCAAACCATAGTAATTTAACCGAGGGTTTTCGGGAAAGACTGCACAACAGAAGAGAGATAAACGATTCACAAAAATACCTCATCTTTAGTCACCTCGGTGAATACATGTACAGAAACTTAGCAACTGATACTCCTCAGTATAACTGGGACATATTTTTAATGTGCTTTCATGCATTTTCTTGTATATATATGTCATTTTTCGTGCGAGTCATTTAATTTCATGGTTGGTTGGCTGAAGACCACTAGTGCGTTCGCATTCCTTAGGGAAGCTATTGTTTAACTTTGCCAAATACTGAATTCATAAACGTTGCCAAACGGTTGCTAAATATACAAAACTAGTTAGAAACTTAAACGCCTTTCTAAACTAATCTACAAATACAGATGGAAGAATATATTCACGTCAAAATTGGCAAATAGATGTACATATACAGATAGATTACATAATCACTACACCAGCTAATATAACGGATTAATTTCAAGCCAAGAACCAGATGAAAATACCGTACCTCGATGTAATACAGAAATTGCAACATAACCAGTAGGTCTTAGGTCTAACCATAAGTGGATAATCTAACCATCCACTGTCAAATACTGGAAACTAAACTTATTCAGGAGGGAGCGTTAACCCTGTGTACTTTTGTGAGAAAATAGCAACTGAATAATTGGAACAAGTGACTTCACGAAAGCTATCGCATTGAGGATGTTTCAGTGAAGTACCTTAAGGATATACATATATATATATAACACCGGTTGCTGTAACAAACGGTATAGAAGCCTAGTCACTTGAGGATCACAAGGAAACAGTCCGACCAGGTCACTAGGTGGCAGAGATAATGAAAAGAAAAAATGCGACTATCCTAGTCTTAAACAGGACAGCCATATTCTAGGAAGGACTAAAAAGAAGACAACACGTATGATTCTCGTCATGATTAATTCATCATATGAGGAAAGACTAGACAGTTCAAATCTCTTATCTCTATCCTACCGTAGGCAGAGAGGAGATCCAACGACAACGTTTAAAATTCCACATAATGACTACGGACCTGATCTATTCTCTCTTTTTCTCCCTACAGGGTGGTTGGAACACCTTAGAGGACACAGCAGGAGAGTTCAAAAGCCAAGGAGAAACCGTATTGCTGTTGAGTACTAGTTCTCACACTGTGTCGTAAAATCCTGGAACCGACTGACTCCCAGAAGAAGTGGTGTCTGCAACCTCAACTGATTCATTCAAGGAGGCTTTAGACAAGCACAAAATTTTACTGGAAAAGGATTAACAAGCCTTCTATTCCCGACCAATAAATCTGAAAATTTGCATGCACATTTTAAAACTCCGTAGATTCTACAATATTATTATACTATTAAGAATTAGCTAACCAAAAAGATTTAAACTTGATCAACTCACCATAACTCTGCCCTTGTACAAGAAGTTGTGTAAAAGACCATCTGATCCCACTAAGAAAAGAAGCTGATAGGACAAGCAGGAAGCCAATGTAATCAAACTGTGTAGACTCGTAGGAAAACATGAATAAACCACAAGTTATCAGCAAAACTATGATAATTAGAGAGGGTCTCTGAAGTTAATCAGGTTTATATCATCATTATATACCTTTTTTTCCAGCTTCAACAACACGGAGAACATGACAATGAATATGACACTGGTCGACTTCGTCATTGTATATCTATATTGCTAGGTATAAAAACTTAAATCAGACATACAGCGACACTGTGATAAATTCAAAACTCCAATTAGAGAAACCAATATCTAAAGCACTTTCATAATACCATTAGAAATATTTTGCAGAGTACCTCGAAGCACCAGAAACAGCAACAAGCTGAACATACTTTGACCAACCAAGTTCTTTACCTGGAACACCACGAGACCATGATAGTATTGACCGCAGTAACCAGGCTACTAGGAACTTTAAAATAATATGCATCAGGGTAATTGACAGAGGATATGGGAAAACCTAGTCATTAATGTTGGTTTTTATAAAAAATGAAACCAACTTTTATACAGCGGCTGTTGAAAAAAGTAAGGCATATTGAGAAACAGTAAAACAGTAGCAATGTAAAAACTGTTTTAAGCAGACTCAACATGGTGACTAATAAGTCAACCTAATAATAGATATCACAGCCGGAGTTGATTTATTTCCAAATAACGTCATTAACCATAAAACCCGCTCATTTTAGGGTCAAACACGAAATTCAGTAACCTTCATAACGAATTAATTTAAACTCAAATTCAGCCTATAAGGATAGAAGGCTCTTATTGATTCTTTTTACCCTTGAGATGTATATCTCTACAGAGATCTAGTTTATTTTTGAAAGCTTTCACGAACTTTGAAAAGGGAGTGAATTTTACACGCTCTTGTTTAGTTTTGGCTTTTGTTGTGTTATACGCTCCAAAAGTCTACAGATTAACTTTAAATCAGTTTATTCTGATCAAAGTTAGTTTACTTTTCAGATCTGAGTCTATTTAAATTATAGGAAATTGTTATTTCTATAACATAATAGCTATATATATATTTTTGTGCAATCACACTTCAATATATTGAAAGCTAAAAATAAGTCGCCTCTCCTCCTTCGGTAGGAAAATGGGAAGAGATTTAAATGCTCCCTCGTCTTATCATAAGGAAAAAGTGAGATACCAGTAACTAATTTCGTTCCTCTGCACTCTTTCCAGGATATGTGCCTCCTTTTTTGAAGCATGGACTCACCGCTTGTATGCAGTATTCTAGATAAGGTCTGATGATCAGCAGATATGGTAGTGGTCACAATTGTGAATCGCTCCTATCTGTAGGACAGCAACATGCAGTTTTTGACAGCTCGAGAATTAAACTTTAGTTTGGACCCTTAACAAAAAATAATAATAAGGGTTGTACAGGTCTAAATTATAAATAGAAAAAATGCTTTTGCTTCTACCATCTACAAGCCTGTTCAGCTTCTTGTCAAGATGCTACTCATTGGGCCCTACAGAAATTCGTGGGGCATCTTACAGGTCAGCTTGTTCTACGGCGTCTAATTTTCCAGACCACTGAATTTACTCCTCACTTAAATATCACCTACCTACCTCACAATAATCTTTTTATTTACGCACTATTATACTCTATCTGATCACAACTACCTAGGCCTTTATTTAAGCTATAACCTGCTCTTTGTACATATATGTTGATTGCCCAAAGTCTGGTTGCTTTGATTAAAAACACAACAACACCAATGTTTGAACAAAGCTATATCTTCATCGAAAACATCATATTTTCCATGCTTAGACCAATATGGTTAGCATTAAACATTGCAAATGTATACTATCATTTCAAGTACTATATAGCTTCTTCTCCTTGTATTTACCTTGTAAATATACTTCAAATAATGTATTATTCATAATTGCATTTTATACCAGTTTGCAGCTGCTAAGAATTTTCTTCTATTCCTGAAATAACGTTCAACCGAATGCTGGTATAGCATTCATCCAGATATACGCTGTTCACTGGTTGACCATAGGCATCATCAGGAGACGGAACGAAGTTTGGGTTATCGCTCAAATTTGATGGTGACCTTAGTGAAGGGTTTACAATTTAACATTCATAAGAACCTGTTCTGATTGCTTGTACAGTAACTGAACAACTTAATTTTTTGAAAAAGTATTAATTTACGATACTTCAGGATTGTAATTTATAACATTACTGATCGTGCCTGTAAAAATGGCATGTATTTCTTGTAAACCTACCCGTTCATACTATGTATAAATTATTATTATATGTTGCATAGAGTACTTGGGATATACACTCATCTAATCTTTTGAAAGCCTTTGAAGTGCCCACATAATTTTAAAAGCTCGTGCAGCAGCTGCATTACAATTCTCCATTATTATTAAGTTATGACTTACAATAATTCCTAAGTGCTTTTGTCGCTTAACATCTGGCAGTTCTGTTTTGAGTGTACGACTGAGGTTCGGTGGGCCTACGTGGTCCATCGTAATCGTTTCTTGTATGTAATATATTTTCTCCTTATGTTTCATCCCAAATCAAGTCAACTACAAACAAATACTAGCAGATCCAGATTTGTTGATTGAGGAAATTTCTGTGCTTGTCCAAACCCTTCTTGAGTGAATCAATTGAGGTTGCAGACACCACTTCTTTTGGAAGTCGGTCCCAGGAGTTTATGCCTCAGTGTGAGAACCAGTACTCAACAGCAATACGGTTTCTCCTTGGCTTTTGAACCCTGCTGTGTCCTCTAAGGTGTTCCGACCACCTAGTGGGAAGGAAAAGAGAGAATAGATCACATCCATAGTCATTATTTAAAATTCTAAACATTGTAGTTAGATCGCCTCTCTGCCTACGGTATGACAGGAAGAAGAGATTTGAACTGTCTAGTCTTTCCTTGTATGATGATTTAGTCATGCCAGGAATCATACTTGTTGCCTTCCTTTGAACCCTTTCTAGAATACGTGAGTCCCCTTTAAGACAAGAACTGGCTGGTTGCCTGGATACAGTTTTCCAGTCTTGACCTCACCAGAGATCGTAGTAAGTGCTCTGTGAATTGCCCATAAAGATCTGAAACTAAGTGCAGCCACCGCGCAACAATGCGCTGTAATTTTTAAGTTGTGACTTACCATGACACCTAAATCCAAATGAGTCTGAAGTGATTGTGGTTTTATTCGCTCTATTTCGTAGGAGCTGATGCTTGCGTGTCCAGTGGGCAGGGTTGCACATTTCGCTACAATGATCGGGAGCATCCATTCTCTGGGCCACTCTGACAATTTGTTGAGATCCGGATACCATGCCTGGTGGCACTCCACTACGATCTGTTGTCCAGGAGGAGAGTTTTGAGTTGATTTCGACTTTCTGCTTTCTATCTATGAGGAGTTCTCTAATCCAGATTAATATGCTGCCTTTGATACCAAGACTTTCCATCTTCATGAGTAGTCTTTTGTGAGGAAATTTGTCGCTGGCTTTGACGAAGTCTAGGGAGCCGATGTGAGTGGGTCTACTGTTGTCCCTTGATTTGACTCAACTTTCTATTGCAGTGAAGAGATTTCATAGGCATGAAAGGTTTCCTTGAAAGCTATGCTTCGCTCTAGATAACAAGTGACTGTTTTCCAGATATGCCATTATACTTCTCTTGATGATTCTTTCCAGTGCCTTATTAATATTAATATATATTTCACATAAATTAAGCATTTACATGATTAACATACCGTTTGTACAGGCATGATCATATTCGACAAGTGCAATTTGAAATGGAACACTTTTTTGACATTAAAAATTGGAAAAATGGAAAAAAACCCCTAGAAACTTTGTTAGAATAGATTACAATATATTGGTTCAAGTCTAATTTATAGTCTGCAATATACTTATAGTCAGTCAGATTCATGCGGGAATTACGAAATGTTGCGTTAATGGAAGGTAAGAAGAGAGGTGATAAACATGTGCTAGAGTAAGACATACAGGATACAGGCTTTGTGATCATTATCATTTTGTCAATTAATAAATGTTCAAAAATTTATAAAACTCCACAGTAGCGGGTAAGTACAACATTATTTTGGTATTAACAGTACAAGGGACCAACTTTGCGATGATAAACAGAATTCAGAATGGAATTTGTTCCGCGGTTCGTCGTGTGTGCCAACAATATTCTGAATAACGCTCAAGTAATACAAACGTAGAAAGCAGCATTACTGTTCATTTGCAGTGCTGGTGAGACTAATAAACCTGCAGTTTGAAGGGCTTTGTCTTGATCCTCCACTGTGGATAGAGTTGCTATGACGCCTTTCCTGTCACGCAGTCACTCTCTGTTTGGGGGAGATAGCTTGAAGATCATGGTCAGTTGGCCGGCTATGTAAGCTGTTAGTTCCTTGAAGATTATCAGGACTCATTGATTTCCCTGCACGTAGTATCTTTAGACAGTTGAACACGACGTCTTGATTAAAATCAACGTAGTCTGTCCTGCAGCTAGAACTGATCCTTTGGGGAGTGACGACTCCCGTGTGAAGACTTGGGAGAAGTAGTCTGCAGTTTTCTTGATGTTCTTCGACTGTGTCATCATCAATGGTCAGGCTTGGAACACCATTGGAAGTCTTGTTCCTGAAATTTACGTTCGAGGGAATTTTCATAGGTTGTGCCATTTATTTTAAGCCAGATACGCTTCAAACTTCATCCTTGATTGATGGATTTTTGAAATAGCTTTGTTCCTACAGAATTTGTATAAACTTCTGCTCTCAGGAGTTTCAAAGGTGGTAAATATATTCCAGAATTTATGTTTACATCTGAGTAACTTACGGATCCCTCGGTTTATTCAAGTGGGCTATGTTTCCGACCCTTTGGAATACACCAAGAGATGAAAGGTTCAGTTAACTGAGCTTAAGGTTGTTTAAATTGGTTCTACGCGGCTTCTATTTGGGACCCTTGGATTATGTACCAGTTTACTGAGTTGGCTGCTGAGACGATAGCATTTATTTCAGCTTTTCAAAAGTTTGGTCGAGCTGGCTTTTTGCTTATGACGCGGCTGCTGTGAACTCGAAAGTGAACACAGCGTGATCACTTCTTCCTAACGAGGGAAGATGTATTAAATCCACATCACCATGGGAGAACACTAGGTACAGTGATGGAGAGGGGTGCTCTGAGTCATAGCCAGCGGGTGGCCTTCATGACATATTGGTCGAGGGCTAGCGAAATGCTAGATTCCAGCAAATTATAATCGGAAGAGTTGTCTGAAGATGGCTTCGTGAGGCTTGTCCAGTTAACTGTTGGGTCGTTGAAATAACCGACTACGAGACTTCAATGTTTCGATGTCCAGGAACCTAATTTCTCTATCAGAAAGTCGTCTGCTCTGCAGTCATGACAGCGGCACATAGTAATGTGGCATATATCTTGCCCTACACATTTTAGTCTGTAGCGTAGAAGTTTACACGTTTCACTTTTGTGTGGGAGAATTTCGATGCTACGCACGGTCGAGCATTTCTTGAGGTAGATGACTACGCCACCTCCTTTGCGGTTTAGTCAGTCCACCCTCTGCACCACGAAGTTTGTCAGGTTAACTTCCTTGTCAGTAACATCGGATTTAAGCCATATCTCTCTGATGATAATTACGTTCGGTTTTCCGGGGTTTATGATATGACCTAGCTCAGTCTGCTTGCTCAACAGCTGTGGGCATTTTTATAGCAAACTGTTGACTTGGTTGGGTGCTTCCGCGGCCTATACACAAAGGTTTCGAGATTGTAGTGTACATTGAACCTTTGATTTTTTGTTTGAACGCACTCACCCACTTTTGGCACCTCTTCCTTTTTCGATTCGTGACTCTCTGCATTGTGGGTTCGCTCTCTCGTTGTGC